TGGTTGGTGCATAAACTTGGATTACTGTGATGCTGAAATGTCTGCCTCAGATTCATATTGAAATCATTCTATCATTTTTGAGATTTTATCCCAGTACAGCTTTCCCCATTCTTTTGTTGACTATGAGGGCTACTCCATTTCTTTTACAGGATTCTTGCCAACAAAAGTAGATATGGTAATCATCTGAATTGAATTCGCCCATTCCCATCCATTTTAGTTCACTGACGCCCAGGATGTCAATGTTTATTCTTGCCATCTCCTGTTTGAGCGCACCCATCTTACCAGGGTTCATAGATCTTACATTCCAAGTTCCTATGCAGTATTTTTCTTTGCAGCATTGGACTTTCCTTTCACTTTCAGCTGCATCCACAGCTGAGCATCCTTTCAGCTTTGGCCCAACCACTTCATTAGCTCTGAAGCTAGTTGTCCTTGTCCTCCTCTCTCCCTCAGTAGCATGTTGGACGCCTTCCAACCTGAGGGGCTCATTTTCCAGCATCATATCTTTTAGCCTTTTGTTTCTGTCTATGGAGCTTTCTTGGGAAAGATACTGGAGTAGCTTGCCAGCTCCTACTCCAGGTGAATCGCGTTTACTCAGAACTCTCCACCATGACCTGTTCGTCTTGAGTGTCCCTGCACGGCACAGCCCATAGCTTCTCTGATTTACTCAAGCCCCTTTGCCACGACAAGGCAGCAATCCATGAAGGGGCAGGCAAAATTACTGTGACCTAAATCTAGTTGTCGATCCCAGGTAAAGCAGATCCATTGAATTGCTTGCTGAATGATGAGTCAATACTCAGGCAAGTACTACTGAATGCAGGAGATCTGCTCTTGCTGGGACTCCCAATTGGATCCAGACCCTTATCAGTTGCATTTTTATTTATTTTCTTCCTTGTGTTAACTTTTGTGTTTGCTGTATGTTATTGCTAAGTACAAGGGAAAAGTGTGATACACCCTTGAGTGTAGGATAGTTCCCCCTCCTACGCCAAATAAGCAGCATGGGATGGGTAAGAGAGTGAGGAGTTAGAAATGTAGTTCAGTGGGCAATTAAGGAGGATTTAACTCTTTACCTCCTGCTGCAGTTGCCACCTTTATCCTCTTCATCCTGCGACTGGTATTTGAATGGGTTGGGATTGTTCTGATGCTAATGAAAATGCCTTATCCATGCTAATGGAGGGATTCTGCTAGGGGAAGGAAGAGGTTAAATCTCCCTGTATATCATGTGAGGATTTCAATCTAGGTGAGCCCCCTTCTTCAGACCAACTATTTTGGGAATAGGAAGGAAAACTGCTCAAGCACAAACTATGTGATGTTGTCATGTTTAATCCAGTAGCAGTCTAGATGAAATCCTGCATCACCCTTTAGTGCCGAGTTTGAATGTTATCCTCATTATTTAATTCCTTCTCATGGTACCTTGAGTGGAAGAATGTCATGTCTGTTTTACATAAGAAGAAGCAAAAAAATAAATAAATAAAAGACAATTGGTTACATTCACATCATGTCATGAATCTGTTGCAACATTGTGTGATAATCATGTCAGCCAAACAATATCTGACATTTCTAGGGAGAAGGATGGAGTGGAGCTCACTCGGGAAGAGGCGTTCAAATATCGATTCAAAATGGATGGTAAAAAACACTACCTCATAATTAACGAATCCACCATGGAGGATAATGGGCACTACAAAGTGAAGACCAATGGTGGGGAGTCTGTTGCTGAATTAATTGTACAAGGTGAGATATGAATAATAATGCGTTAGGAACTTTTCTTTCAATGTGGAGGTAGTGGCTGCCTGAATTGCACTCTATGGAAGAATAATGGCTGCTAGTGAGATCACTGGTAGTAGGAGAGCTAATTATGCAGGCCTCCAAGAGCATATTATAGGAATTGTTAGGCCGGATGTAATAGATATCCCGATAACAACAGGTGCTTGCTTATCAAGTCTAGTTAAAGTCTCACGTGCTCTGGATGGCTCTTCCTATTTCACCTTTTCCCCAAACAGTTTCTTTAGTCACTTCTTTTTGTTAAGGCAACGTCAACAGCTGTGGTGCTTGCTTGACCTCTGACCTGCTAATGTTTGTGTGGCTTCGTCTCCAAATTTATGATCTCAGAGAAGAAGCTGGAGGTGTATCAGAGTATTGCAGATCTGACCGTGAAGGCACGGGACCAGGCTGTGTTCAAGTGCGAGGTTTCTGATGAGAACGTGAAAGGCATTTGGCTTAAAAACGGCAAGGAGGTGATCCCAAACGAGCGGATTAAAATCTCTCATATTGGCAGGTAAGGTTCCCTTTCAGTGGGCTGGTATGTGGTGAGAAAGTGGAGTGGCATTTAAATCCAGATTCAATGGTAATATTTCCTGTGAGTAGCATGTAGATACATGAGAATGCCCTTCTATTGTGTTGCACATTTATTTACCTAGGTGGGAGAAGCAGTATGTATTATTTCTTAAAAGTTGTCTATGAGCTGCAGGTATATTATAGTGGATGTTGCCATTTATATGTGGAATACTGATAAAACCAAATGTTTTTCTTGAATGGCTGCAACTAGATATATATTCTGCTTCTCAGACAAGCCCCAGTCAATACTGTCAATTTGTGTTGGATGGCTGTAGCAATCACCAAGAGTGTATTTTAGTTTTCAGACGTTCACATGATTCTGTCTGGAATTGTTAGCATTTAGTATAAAAAGTATTAATGTCAACATTTCCCAGATTTGGGGAATTTATTGTAATATGTATATCCATACTAGAATTTGGAAATTACTGCTCTTTTATGAATTTCTCTTAGATGCATACTGTGGCCATAGGGCCCAACAGATGCCTCTTATTGGCACATATGCATAGCCCTGTACCAAACCATTACAGTGATAAAGAGATCTATTTGAACTTCTAAGGTTAAAACCAGTCATTAGTTCTAACTAAATTAGACCAACTGAATCAATGGCACTTACATAAGTGTTGATTTAGCAGATCTCATTCATATAATAAGTCTGTTGTAGCTTGGATGGAAAACTAGATTTAGCTCCTAGTGTGTTTTTCCCAATAGGTCAATAAAATTAACTAGGGCTTGACAAAGCTATTGGAGATATTTATAGACTCCTCCCAGTAATTTTTAGAGTTTGATCTTAAACTGTTTCTACTGTCTTGAGAAGCTTCCAGACATGACTATTGCACTTACAGTGGACTGAATTGAGACCATAATGATGGCTATACAGTGGTGCCCCGCAAGACAATGTTAATTCATTCCATTGAAATCGCTGTTCTACGAAAACATCGTCTTACGAAAAGCGTTTCCCCATTGGAATGCATTAAAATCCATTTAATGCATTCCAATAGGGAAAAATCGTCGTCGTCCAGCAAAAATCGCCCATAGGAAAGCCCTTTTGCGAAGCGCTGATCAGCTGTAAAATCGCTGTCTTGTGAAAAACGGAAGTGCCGATCAGCTGTAAAAATCATTGTCTTGCAACAAAACAGTCCAGCGAAATCCTCCATAGCGATTGCAAAAAGTCATCATCCTGCGGATTACCCATTTTGCGGGGTAATCATCTAGCGAGGTACCACTGTATGTAAATCAAATGGTGGCTCTTAATGGAAAGCCGAACACATGGTAGTAGACCATTCATAATCTTGAATGTTTTATAATCTAGAGTAAAAAAACTGCAGAGTTTTAGCTATATTGGCAGGGGTCTAGTTGAGGCTGACTAGTCATGCAACAGATGTAGTCAAAGTTGCTTGACTTTGAAAGCCTTTGCATGAGAGAATACCCACTACCTCCTTGCATGACTGTAAAATGAATTTCACTAATGGAAATTTTTCTTTCCATACCACATTGCATAAGTAAGTGGGAAATCCTGTGTTAACTCAGCTGGTACAGCATCACACTTTGCTGGCAACCAACAGGATCCTGCCCATAAATGTACATGCATGTGGCATTCTTTGTAACAGGTGGGTGGGATTTGTCCCTATAGAGGGAGAATGGGGTTAAACCAAGATGTCTGTGCTTTCCAGAATCCACAAACTAACTATTGATGATGTAACTCCAGAAGACGAAGCAGATTACTCTTTTGTGCCTGAAGGATTTGCCTACAATCTCTCAGCTCATCTCCGCTTTTTGGGTAGGTGTTCTGGGAATTCCAATACCTGGTAGGAATGCAAATGAGCATATCTCTCTCTCTCTCTCTCTCTTACATGTTATTAAATTAGTTTTTAAAAAATCTAGCTGGACTTCACATCAGCTGCAGTTCGCTTCATTTCCTTAAATGAAGAAATGGGAGGAATCGTTGCTGGCGATCTTTATTTATTCATATCAGAGGGTTACGACATTTAGAATGATGGATGTATATGAAATGTAGGTTAAAAATTAAAAGCAAATGGAAATGTTAGAGATTATTGCCATTTGTGATCCAAAAAGGACTGTTGTGTCATTTTGTTCATCAGCAAATTTGCAGTGCAGCAGTTCTGGGGATGAAAGATTGGCCAGATGTACGCAGTTTCCCAGGGATGCCCGAGGGTACTTGCAGTGCTTTCCACTTTTCAAGAGGCTACGGTGATGCATGAGTATAAAAGCAATTCCAAGTGATTCATAATAAAAATAATACCATTATTATATTTAATACCATTTATGTAGTACTTGAGTTTTCCAATCAATTCACATATATTTAAGTTATGTTCATAACAACTGTGCTTGATATAGCAGTGTTACCTACATACATCAGATAAGGATCTGAGGCTGAGATAAGACAGCCGGTTTAAGGACACCTAAGAGATTTGTGGACCGAATGAGATTAGTCCATGCCTGCCCAGCTGTTTGCAAAATATTGCGCTCATTTTTATGTGCAATCAATAAGTAGCATGCAGTCAAACACTTGGGGTCTGCTCAAGTCCATCTTGTGCAGAGATTTCCACACAGTTCTGTTAAGACTTTCCAAACCAACTTTCTATAAACCAATTCAGATTTATTCCTGACTTGCATTTCCAGTATGTTTTTTGGTGTTGTTATTGTTGTTCTTTTGAATGAGATCAAGGGCTTGTTTTGGCACTCCAGCATATGTTGGATGATGTGCCAATGCTTCTAATACTCTTTATAAGCTGTTGGTAATATGACTGAATGATCGAATATCAGGCTGCAGTTCTGACTGTTAGAAGGTGCTTTATCACATTGCCTTAAAAGGTTAAGATGTTTTGGAAAAATCTGGATGGCTGTTGTCTGTGGACACCCTTAGACCAACAGTTGGTTGGTTAATACATAACGTTCATGTTTGAATACTCGTTCATTTCAACAGTTTCATTTCAATCTTTAAAACTGGAGATGGGGTAATGTATAACAAATGATTAAACCAGCTCACCATCTCTTTGTAGAGGAAACCCCCATGTAGTAACTCAATTATGTTTTGACACCTCATATTCCAGCGCCTTTAGATGTAACCTTCCATGCACTTCTTTAGGAATTGAAGGCATCACAGAATATTCTTACAGAGGTATCTATTCCCAAAGGTCACTTTGTTTGCAGACGTTCTATCTGTTGAAAGCACTTCAAAAATAACAAAAGCTGTAGCCCAGGTTAAATATGCAGAATAACATTTTATCCCTTTTCGCCTTCTCTAATAGCAGCTTTGTAATCTTAAAAAAAAGCTGCTAAAATCTGTTTGGTCAAACAAAATCACTTTTAAAAAAACAAAAATTCCTCAGACAGGGACTCTCAAGTGGTTCATTTTGTGCAACTCATTATTCAGCGATAGATCTCAGATTCTGGGCCCTAGAAAAAATTAATACTGAAGATGATATGATGCTATGGAAGAAGGAAATAGAATGTATTTTTAAGTTGAAGACTTCTTCAGGGGCAAACTGGAGTTTCTTCCACTCCTGTAAGGGTAATATTTGGAAGTTTCAAAATCCTTCCGCTCTTTTAGGTCCATCATGTCCAGATAAGGGTGCCCTTGAGACTAATTGCTAGGCTCCAGTTGCACTCATCTCTAACAGAACAAAATTAATAGCCTACAGTTCCCACTGTGCATCCCAGAATAGCCAATCTGTGTGGCCTTGGGCAAGCTGCACAGTCCCAAGATGCCCCCAGAAGAAACCACTACTGTGTACTGTTATACTTAAAAATCCCGAGACGGGTTATTATAAATCAGAACTGATTTGACAGGGAGTGTTTATACAAGTGCCTTCCTGTGTTATTGTTTTGCATACTTCTATATCCCCTTGAGGGACATGGTGGCACTGTGGGCTAAACCGCAGAAGCCCGTGCTGCAGGGTCAGAAGACCAGCAGTCCTAAGATCGAATCCACGCAACGGAGTGAGCACCTGTTGCTTGTCCCAGCTCCCGCCAACCTAGTGGTTCAAAAGCATGCAAAATGCAAGTAGATAAATAGGGACCACCTTGGTGGCAAGGTAGCAGTGTTCCGTTTCTAAGTCGCACTGGCCATGTGACCACGGAAGATTGTCTTTGGACAAAACGCTGGCTCCATGGCTTGGAAACGGGGATGAGCACCGCCTCCTAGAGTCGAACACGACTGGACAAAAATTGTCAAGGGGAACCTTTACCTTTACCTTATATCCCCTTGAATACTTTTTAGGATAGTGACAGACTGAAACACATAAAGCTTATAAAAATAATAAGCATTGTTTTAAAGCATCTTGATATATTTATACGTGAACCTCAGACAGATGCTGTCCAGTTTCTACTATTTTCATGCAAATCTTGATCCACACACAGGCGGTATCTCAGACTGTTATGAGGAATATGCATCATTTATGCTTTTTGTCTTAGAGCTGCAGATTTTTCTTCTTCTCCTGCTTTGGTGCACAAACTGCAACTGTTTCCACCTTCGAGAGGATGAGAAATTCTCATCGGGTCTCTGACGGACCTGATGAGTATTTCCATATTCTATAATAATGAGTTTTTTTTTTTCCACAAGTAATGCAAAGAGGCAAATAATACAAATTGCACAAAACTACTATGGCTGCTTCCTTGTCCCATGGACTGTTAAGAACTAAACATACTGGACAGGTTGTTTGAATGTTGTTGAACAACCACCAGTTCTTCTTTGTTTTCAAATGGAAAAGCCACTAACAGAAAGACGTTATGCACAGATTATGGAGACTTTCTTGCTGTCACACGGGAGGAAAGGAGTCTCTAAGGTCTTGAACATTTCTTGTTGAGAAGTCTCATTATTGTCAAATGATCTCAACTCATCTTGATGAGAGAGAGAGACAGAGAGAGAGAGAGAGAGAGAGAGAGATGTAGATAGTATGTTTCATTTCTCTACGTCTCATATTTATGTCTTGTTCAAACACCTTGCTTCACTCAGCCGAGGAACACTCTGAACTGATGTTCCTTGTCTGAGAAGAGGAGTAGTATTAAGCAGAGGTATGGGAAGCGTTTGCAAGTCTTCATTTTTCTCTAGTGATCTGGACTTGTGAGAGCCTATGCACACACTGAAATGAAAGTACAGTTACATCCTACAGAGATTTCTCTAAGCATGAATACTGGACTTGTAATGGATTGCATCAAGATCATTGTCGTCATCATCATTACTTTTGAACAAAACATTATTCCACAGGGTGCTTGTCGTCATCATCATTACTTTTGAACAAAACATTCCACAGGGTGCCTTACCTAACACCACATAAACTTTGTGGATAAATACCTTATATGACTTCGCAGAGCAAGTTCAGTAAAGAACTGTAGTGTTAGCCTTAGTATGGGAAGGTTGAATATTCAGTAAAGAACTGTAGTGTTAGCCTTAATATGGGGAGGTTGAATCTGCCCCAAGTAAAAAGCATTCCTTTTAGTAGCACATTTATATGATTGGAACATATATTCAGAATAGCATTATGGAGATATAGCTGTACATGCTGAGCTTAGCAGTCAAATAACTCTGTTACCTGTAGCACATGTTCGGGAGTAACAAGGAATAATGACAACCCTTTTATGTAACACTGGAAGTGAATGTAATGTCCTTACTTTTTACTGTAATAAGTAGCAAGCAACACATTGCTTTTTGGAGAATCATTTTCTGTATTTGACCATTTTTTCTTTTTAACATCAGTTTTTGAAAAATAAACCACCTGAAAAGGAAATAAAAATAATTTCTTAAGAATACACTAGTACCATGTTATTTCTTTAGGAAAAATAACACGTTATGCCACTGAGCGACTCTGAAAAAAGTAATAAGTCAGGAACAGCAAATAATTAAAAGTAATCATTCTAATAATAATGTGAAATCCAATGTGATGTAGTGGATAGAGTGCTGGACTACGACTTAGGAGACCAGAATTCAAATCCCTGCATGGCCATGGAATCTCATTGGGGGGTGGCAATGGTAAATTATTCTTGAACATCTCACATACTTCAAAAGTCTAGAGTTTCCATAAATTTAAAGAGACCTGATGGCATATAACAATAGTGTTTGTGAACACTGGATTGTGGACACAGTGTAAAAAAACTATTGTCTGTGTGCTAAAGGGAGAAATAATGCCCTTCATTTCAAACATTTTTTCTTCTGTTAATTTTTATGTCCATATCAGGAAAATCAATGCTTGCTTTCATCTATGAAAGTATAGCTCAGGTGGAGGAGGATTGCAAACCCACTCTCTTCTAGAATAACTTATTTTCTATTGATTTTGATAGGTAAAAATCTACCCATTGTTGTAGGCTGAATCTATCAGCATCATGATCAACATTTTTCTGTGGAATTAAGTGAATACTTGTGTGGAGAAGAGTCTTGTGGTCAACCAATTAGACAGAACTGGTTTATAGTTAAGAGCTTTAGACAATGATTAAACTTGCTGGACAGGGCATTTTTGTATGCTTAAAAGCCACCTGAGAGTCCCTGCCCCCAATTAAAAATTGAGATCTTTTTTTTAAAAGCTCTAGTTGTGCCATAAAAACCCTGGAGCAGGTTATGGTGAGATCTGATGGCAAAAATCTGGCTTTCATGGCCACAGGTTGCCCACCCCAGTTTAAACATACAGTATTTGTACGTGGAGGACATACTACTAACCTCCAGAATGTAGGGACTGTAAGATCAACCAGGATGGTGTAGCAGATTTTAGTATAAATGCTGGAATTTTTACTGATACACGTGTTCAGAATTAGTGCCAATATTTTCTCCATCCACAGAGTACAGCAGCCACCCCCAACCACCCTCCAGGTCTGTTGTCCCACGATTGCCATAATCCTACAGCCAGCACAGCATGGTTGACTTTGCATATTTTGGCTTTGCATATTTGGGAGATGGTATAAACGTTTGCTATATGTAGACAAAAAGGGAACAGATCCAAATATATGACTTCAGTTGAAGACATGGGTTGCCCAACTGACTATCTGTGGGCAGTTGTGTTTAGGCTGAATTGTGTCTTTGCCTGCAGAAGTGTTTTCAATGTAGCTTTTATCCATCAATAAATAATTCCATATCTGGTGCAAAAAAATTCTCATAAAGAAAAGCATCCCTGTTTCAGAAGCTCTCTAAATGAACAAATGGAGAACAGTTGTTCAGATTAAAAATAAAAACTCTTTCATGATTGGAACATGAGTTTGATGGAATTCTACTGGAAGTTGGGAACCTGATAGATGGTAAAAGGTAAAAGGTGGCGATTATTCAATATCACTTGATGAAATTGATGATTATGAATAAAATGCTAGTTGGGGAGGCCAAGCACAGGTGGTTAGGGCTGCAGAAATCCACAAGATTTATCACTTCTCTCGAAATTTGTAAATTCTGGTGAATCGGCATGTATCAGCTTTGGATAAAGCATATTGGTTCACATTATTTTGTTTGTTGTTGTTTCGTCGTTAAGTCATGTCCAACTCTTCGTGACCCCATGGACCAGAACACGCCAGGCTCTCCTGTCTTCCACTGCCTCCCGGAGTTTGGTCAAATTCATGTTGGTAGCTTTGATGACACTGTCCAACCATCTCATCCTCTGTCGTCCCCTTCTCTTGCCTTCACTCTTTCCCAAGATAAGGGACTTTTCCAGGGAGATTTCTGTTCTCATGAGATAGCTAAAGTATTGAAGCCTCAGCTTCAGAATCTGTCCTTCCAGTGAGCACTCAGGGTTGATTTCCTTCAAAATAGATAGTATGATCTCCTTGCAGTCCAGGGGACTCTCAAGAGTCTCTTCCAGCACCAAATTCAAAAGCATCAGTTCTTCAGCGTTCAGCCTTCTTTATGGGCCAGTTCTCACTTCCATACATCACTACTGGAAAGCCCATAGCTTTGACTATGCAGACCTTTGTCAGAGGCCTTTTATAGTTTATAAAGAGACCTTTGTCTCTGCTTTTTAAGATGTTGTCTAGGTTTGTCATCGCTTTGGATTTGGGATGTAGACTGCTTTTTTCCAATCCTCTGGCCACTGTTGAGTTTTCCAAACTTCCTGGCATATTGAGTGTAGCACCTTCATAGCATCATCTTTTAAGATTTTAAATAATTCAGCTGGAATGCCATCACCTCCACTGGCCTTGTTGTTAGCCATCACCTCCACTGGCCTTGTTGTTAGCCATCACCTCCACTGGCCTTGTTGTTAGCCATCACCTCCACTGGCCTTGTTGTTAGCCATCACCTCCACTGGCCTTGTTGTTAGCCATCACCTCCACTGGCCTTGTTGTTAGCCATCACCTCCACTGGCCTTGTTGTTAGCCATCACCTCCACTGGCCTTGTTGTTAGCCATCACCTCCACTGGCCTTGTTGTTAGCCATCACCTCCACTGGCCTTGTTGTTAGCCATCACCTCCACTGGCCTTGTTGTTAGCCATCACCTCCACTGGCCTTGTTGTTAGCCATCACCTCCACTGGCCTTGTTGTTAGCCATCACCTCCACTGGCCTTGTTGTTAGCCATCACCTCCACTGGCCTTGTTGTTAGCCATCACCTCCACTGGCCTTGTTGTTAGCCATCACCTCCACTGGCCTTGTTGTTAGCCATCACCTCCACTGGCCTTGTTGTTAGCCATCACCTCCACTGGCCTTGTTGTTAGCCATCACCTCCACTGGCCTTGTTGTTAGCCATCACCTCCACTGGCCTTGTTGTTAGCCATCACCTCCACTGGCCTTGTTGTTAGCCATCACCTCCACTGGCCTTGTTGTTAGCCATCACCTCCACTGGCCTTGTTGTTAGCCATCACCTCCACTGGCCTTGTTGTTAGCCATCACCTCCACTGGCCTTGTTGTTAGCCATCACCTCCACTGGCCTTGTTGTTAGCCATCACCTCCACTGGCCTTGTTGTTAGCCAGGCTTTCTAAGGCCCACTTGTCTTCACTCTCCAGGATGTCTGGCTCAAGGTCAGCAACCACACTATCTGCATTGTCCGGGATATCCAGATCTTTCTGGTATAATTCCTCTGTGCATTCTTGCCACCTCTTCTTGATGTCTTCTGCTTCTGTGAGGTCGCTGCCATATTTGTCCTTTATCATGTCCATCTTTGCACAAAATGTTCACATTATTAGAAGACCACAAAGCATAAAATTTTGGTCGGTTTAAACAAAGAAAAGGGGAAGAAACCAATTTTCCCCGTGAAACTTAGGACAGTGTGTTTAAGCCTGCTTTCAGCAGCTGTCATAATCTATTTATCATACTGATCAACTAACTGAAAGGACGAGACTGATAAAAACTGTGGGAAGTATTGATTGATTGATTGATTGATTGATTGATTGATTCATTCATTCATTCATTCATTTATACATACCCCGCCTATCTGGTCATTTCGACCACTCTAGGCGGCTATGCATGAAGAGATCACCTTAAAGGTAATCAAGTGGTCTATAGCATAGTAGTCAACTTGTGGTTTTCCAGATATTATTAGACACCCCTCATGCCTTGTCACTGGCTATGCTGATTTTGGATTATGGGAATTGCTGCTCTAGAAAAGTTTGTGGTATATCTCAGCACAATGGCTTGGATCCAGACTAGAATTCTGCTGGTGATGTAAGAATGGATAGTGTTTTTTCCTCCAATTCTTCCTTTCATCCTACAGTGTCATTCCTGCACCGTTTCAGAGGTTTAGGGGAATGTCTGGGATCATATTGGTGGTGTTGGGAGCTGGGGTACGAGGAGAGAAATGAGAGAGAATTTCTCCCACTTCCTCCACTCTCAGTGGAATGCTACTGAGCACAAGCATTTCTTAACTTCAGATAAGGAGCATCCTTCCATCAGAAACCAGTTTGTGCAAAGAATGACAACAAAAACAAGCAGGATGAAATAAACAAGCAGGCAACCCGAGGTGATGGAAGGCATGTCGCAGAGTGCCATATATAGGCAGAGTGCAGAAATTTATTGGCTTAATATATCTAACTATGCAACAGACAAAGTTCAGGTACCTACAGAGCAGAATTAGTTTCAAGTCTTCCTTCAATAGACAACCCCTTGTTTTTAATTGTCCTCAACTGGCACTTACTGTCTCAATAATTCACTCAGACACACTGTTAAGAGAAAAAATAAAAAGGTTTCCATTCTACTCAGTTCATAGATCAAAAATAAATTGAATTCTGTAGAAAAATATTAATTGGTTACATGAATAGAGATTAACTAATTCATAAAATCATTCTTACATCACTTGCTGACTGATAGAGTGAGATTTGGATAACAGACTGAACTGGTGCTTTCAGAAATGGTGGGAGCCATTGCTTCATCCCAGTAATGAGATTATCTACAGGATCTTTGTTTTTATTAAGTGCTGTCTAGTTGCTTCTGACTGAAATAGGGTTTTTTAGAGATGTGACGTATTCAGGGAATTGTTTACCGTTGCCAACTCCCCCATCCCCGTAACATGTTCTACCCCAGAGTGCCTTGTAGTTGTGCCAGAGGCTACCTTCTTGCATCAACAAATACTGTACAAAATTAGCAGCAGCCATTTTGGGAGTGGTCTGGCCATGGCCGGCAGTCCTTCAGGCTGCAAATTGTTGCAGTTCTCCTCCCAATGTGCTACTTGACCAGTGGCTTACCATGGCACAGGGTAGGACCAGCTCTGGATGCCCAGACTACCATTAATTTGCTGATGTAAAGCCAGCAGAACTATGAGAGGAGAAATGGTTTACATGCAATGATGAAAAGCAACATTAACATTGGATTCAATTGATGTTCCTTTGCAATCCTTTGTTCTCTCTTGTTCATTACAGACTTCTTATGTTGAGTGTTCACACTAATTTTGTATTTTTTTAAAAAAAAAACTAAGCCTATGATCATTTCAGTTTTACAACCCTGTTTCTTCTTCTCTTTTCTTCTAGAGGTTAAAATTGACTTTGTGCCTAGGCAAGGTAAGATCTTCTTCTTCTTCTTCAAGAAGGGTGTGTGATATCAGCAGGCCAAGGGGTATTTTTCTGATTTTCCCATAGCTAAGGCATGGGGCTAAAAGAGTTTGCATATCTGATTTTTTAAATTATTGTAAAATAAAAAACAATAAGCATTCATTAACTGAAAATGGGTCTAATTTTTTTTAATTAACTGAAAAAGCCCCCTTGCACTTCTAACAAATAACAGAATCAAGAAATGACCTGGGGTGGTGTACATGAGTTCCCAGAGATTTTAGAGAACTCTCAAAACATGGCAAGTTTACCTAGAACCCCTCAGAAGCCACAAGCAGACTTTCTGGACGAAACCTTTTTCATAAAAATTAATTTTGAAGTGGGTGAGGAGTACTTGTGGTCACAAAATGCCAGCTGGGACCACATTTTGTCCTCTCCTGTTCTACAAGTCAGCTTGCAACTGGAGCACGAAGAAAAATCACCTCAGTTTTGGAATAGTCCTCTGCTATTTTCATATATGCTGTTTTGCTTTTTATGCATTTACTCTAGAACCCCCCAAAATCCGCTTGGATTGCATGAGCCAAACTCCAGACACCATTATTGTGGTGGCTGGAAACAAGCTACGACTGGACGTACCTATATCAGGAGATCCAGTACCCACAGTGATCTGGCAAAAGACAAACAAGGTAACACATTCTGAAAAATACCACATTATCCAAAATGGTTCACCTGGAACACTTTTGTTCTTCCATGACTTATTTCAAAATCCTCGCTTGCTTTTTTTTAAAAAAAAAAAAGTAGAAAAATTGGTTCATAATTGAAAAAGAGATTATTTCAATCGCCAGTACAGTATCCTATTTGATTTTCCATACATGTAACTGCAAACACAGAAGCGTCTGCTATAACACAAAAAGGCTAGCCACTGAGGAGCCTCGAGGCACAGTGATTAAACTGCATTACTGCAGTCAAGACTCTATTCACAACCAAAGTTTGATCCTGACAGCCTCAGGTAGCCAGCTGAAAAGCCTTCCATCCTTCCAAGGTCAGTAAATTGAGTACCGTATTATTATGGATCTTTCCCTAAGTTTTTGAAGTTCAAGCTTTGAGTGCTGCAGCTTATGGTACTAAAGAAACCATCTGGGCACAAAAAAAGGGGCATCTGCAGATTTGTACAGAGGGAAGGACTCATATTTTGTAGAAATACAAAATACTGTACACTGAAGTAGGAATAATAAAGATGAGGAAATAGCCCAATGAGAACTGAGGAGAGGAGGGGGAAATGGAGTAGCTGGAACCATGAGTGGCAGCACCCCGCAAACAGAGATAGCAGTCCCCATTATTCCTCTCTCCCAAATACTGTATATAGTTCTGCAAAAAGCTTTCTCTTAATTGAAAATGACCTCTTATGGATGGTTCAAAACAAGAGCTATCACATAGCCTGAAGGTATCTGAAAAGCACGAGGGTGACCTCTTGTGGCCTTGGGGTTCTCATGCCAGCTGGGCGCTCTCTTCCTTCAAGGAACTTCTCTGCCGAGCAAGGTCATACATTGAGTAGAATCCATATCAGTTGCTTTCAGCTTTTGGCACGACTGTGGGGGTTTTTTTTGTGTGTGCTTAGTACTGGTTGAAGCCAGCTAATTTTTGCCCAGTGTGTCAGTGTTTTATCATACTGCATAGAATTTGAATACTTGGATAGAAAGGCTTTGGCAGCTGTTTCTCCTAGTGGAAGATCTTGGGCTTTTTGCAGATTGCACATTGAGAGGAAACACATTATAAGCCATAGACTTGAGTTAGTGGAGTCCTGGTAAATCTCTTTGCATTCCCACACAGAATGAACTAATTCAAAATTAATATTTAGTTTTTTAAAATTTTTAAGTCTCTATAGGTTTTACATCTGCACTTTAAATGTTCTTCTGCATGGTTTAACTCTCAATATACAGCCTTTGTTTTCTGTCCAGCATTTTTTTATTTATTATTTTTGTGTGCTTTGGTTTTCATAAAATGCTGCTTTTATTATGTTGCCTTATTCCCAGGTTGTTCTCTTTCATGTCCTGTTTCTACTTCAATAACTCTCCACGGAGGGAAGGGCTTAGCTCAGCCACAAAGCACATGCCTTTGTCCCGGTGTTTTTAGGTCAAAGGATGAGTTCTGTTTGAAACCTGTCTGTGTAGACCAGGGGTGGAAAGTGTGTGGGCCTCCAAAAATTGTTGGGCTTCAACTTCCACCACCACTCATTGTTTTTGACTGTCCTAGCTAAGGAAGCCAAATAACAAGAATAGCAGTTTAACAAGATCTAGAGGGCTGTATGTTCCTCATTCCTGGAAGCCTCCTAATATCATGCCTTCAAAGCTGATTCTAAGGCAGGATAACCCTTGTGATGTTTTTCTTGGCATATAGAGTACTCAGAAATAGTTTACAGTCCCATCTTCTAGGGGGCGATCTGGGACTGTACAGCTGATTCTTCTCTGGGGAAGCACAGTAAGGAATTGAATTCCTGACCCCTAGCTCTTCAGCCAAGTATTCTAACTCACTGAGCTAACCAGCCAGCTGGTTTCCTAATATGCTTGCTTAATAATAAAAGTCTTCCTTTCTCAAAGACTAGACAGTGGAAAAGTCATGTCTGTCTCCTGGGAATCTCGAAACACTGTTCTGATTCAACATCTGATACTGTCCCTGATGGCCGTTCCATAATCAGTTTCTTATTTTGGAGGGTGGGTCTTTGTCCTGCCTCTGACATCATCCCTCACCTAACCAGTCCCTGGTTATCCTTTGTCACCCAGCAGGCTCCCAGAGATGGCTTCTCTCCCAGTCAGCCTTTATTAGCATACACACACGGGAGAGCAGGGCCTCCTTTGATCCAAGTCACTCAAGAGGAGTCAGACTATAATATTTGTCAAGTACTTTTGCAGATGTTTTCCCACAAGTGATGAAAAATATCTTCTTGTCATGGTATACAATTTTCCACACCTCTGTATATTGCATCTAATGTGCTTTGTTTTGCCATTGATTAGAGGATGGGAAAAGCTGGAGCTTAAATTGTGAGGCTGATTACAGATGCACGTAGCTGCGAGCAATCTGAAAGCCCATTATGGGAGGGGAAAACAAGTTAACTATAAAGAATACACACACACACACACCTAATTTGATGTAGAATTTCACTTGTGGTACTGTTTCATTTCAACATAAAATAAAGAGCTCCCATCGCTTGTCCCAGCTCCTGCCAGCCTAGCAGTTCGAAAGCATGCAAATGCAAGTAGATAAATAGGTACCACCTCAGTGAGAAGGTAATAGCATCCCGTGTCTATGTCGCACTGGCCATGTGACCACAGAAGATTGTCTTCGGACAAACGCTAGCTCTATGGGTTGGAAACAGAGATGAGCACCACCCCCTAGAGTCGAACACGACTGGACAAATTGTTACGGGGAACCTTTACCTTTACCTTACTACTATTTAGCCTGACCAGAGTGTCTTTTCAAAAAAAATCTCTAAGCAAAGAGTCAGAGCCTGAAGTTGAGGCAGAACTTTGGTGTTTGAGAGATTGATGCCTAGCTTTCCCTTCATGAGAAATGAAACCACCAAGACTTTGATGGAGGAACCCTTGTCAGATGTTTCTACATTGCCATCCCCTCCATCTTCTACCTGCTGTTCTTCCTGAGCAGCTGAAGGGTGGCTGAAATCCAGCACTGCTTCACCAGTTCTGTATAATGGAGTCTAATATTTCGTACATTTCTTGTGTCTTCCAGAACAACGACATGGTGGTAATAAATGACAAATCAAAACCCACAGATCCTACAGCCACATGTGGAGATTTGAGTAGTGAAAGCAAGGCAAGTTGTTCTTCAACTAATCCTACAAAAAGATGTGACTTTTTGTGACTACAATTTGTGATTCACAGGTTGGGAAGAAAAAGGAAACTAACTTTGGCATTCTAAGTGGCTGTTTTCTTTTTAAATATCTTTTATATGTTATTTCTTTGAAGCTTTCTTTCTCTGGATTCAATTGAGCATTCATCTAGGGTGGTATTTTTGAACTCTTTTGAACCAGAGAACTCCTCCTAACTTACATGAACTCTAGGGATTTCCAACCAGATGCTATCCATCTGTTCCACCACTCAAGAGGCAGGGAGTCATATGACCTCTGCCTGCCCCTGCTGCTCTATACTAGGATCTATGCACAGTCAATAATCCCACACTGGAATTAGGAAAGGAATAAAGCAAGACCTCTCTCACCCATTTATAAGGCTATGCCCAGGAAAACATACAGACAGAGCACAACACTAATTATGAACTTCCTCTTGCCCAAGTCACACATGAATAAAAGAGGTCAGAAAGGGGACAGTTGTCCACAGACATCCATGTTGGATTGGGGCAGGGAATGTTCACAGCTGGCAATGAAAGGAGAGCAATCCATGGCTCAGGATGCTATACACCACCCACATCCCCACCCCCAATGTTATGCCTCACTCCAGGTCAATATCCATCCCAGAGTTTTAAATGATCTTAGATGCAGTAAGTTAATTTATGAGAGACCGTATGGTTCAATAGTTAGAACGTTGGAGTAGCATTCAGGAGATCTGGGTGCAGATCCGCACTGGGTGTGAAATTCACGGGGTGACCTGGGCCCAGTTACCATCTCTCAGTGCAACCTCCCTCTCAGAGTCATAAAGATAAAGTAGGAAGGAGGTGCGTTGTGTACGGCACCTTGAACTCTTTGGGGGAAAGACGGGATATAAATGCAATAAATGATAAATACATCTTCCCACCCCACTGTGAATTTTGATTTGACTAGGAGCATAGTCAAAACCTGTCTCTGGTCATCCAGTTGGAATGCATTCATTCTTACCCCTTTCATTAATCCACTGCCACAAACAAAACCACTCCTTTTCTTTTATCAGCTAGCTCCTCCTGACAAAGACCTCTGCAAAACTTTAAATCTTGCATTAATATTCTGCTTCCAAGGCTTAATTTTTTTCAAGGCACAAGGCCATGTTTTTCTGCCTGCCTGCCTTTCTATCTTTTTCTCTCTCTTTTTCTGCTCCCTGAGGTAAGCATGTTCCCAACTTACAGTCTGTACCAAACCAGTGAAAATGATCTGGCACATCTTCCATAGCCATGCAAATTATAGGACTTTTTTTGTTAATTGATCACAGCTCCTTGCTGATTCTGAAGGCAGAGTCCATGTGGAGATGTATGAAGACCACTGTGTGTTTACCATTGAAGGAGCTGAGAAGGAAGATGAGGGAGTCTACAAGGTTACTGTGAAGAATCCAGCAGGTGAAGATACAGCTGATATCACTGTCAAAGTTATTGGTAAGTAACAATGGTTCTCTTTCCAAATGAACTAGGACTTCTACGTTACTCTGACTTAAGGCTGCCAAACGGCTATTTGGGGATGTAAATCTTTCCTTCCTTTTCTCCCAATGGAAACAAAAAGTTCCACTGGGCAAATTTCTTCCCATTGGATAAGATCACACAGCTTTTGTGAAAAATTATTGGAAGTGTGTGTATTGATGTAATTTGTTCAGGAAGAAGAGAAAATATACTTTGTCCTATAGACTCACAAAGCTCTATTGTGCAAGTCAGGAAGACTCCCTGATACCCGTCTGCATCATACACAGCCAACACAGTCAAATTTCTGCAGCAACTACATACCTTGGCAATGGCAAATTTGGCAACAGTGTGCCTCCAGTATATTTCAGGAGGTCCAGTGTGCCTCCCATGTCCCCCCACAGGAAGTGGCCCAGAGCAAGACTAAATCATGTGGGTTGTTTCTCTTGTCTAAATACAATACATACCAGCATGCCATTCATGTGCTTTTCCCCCAGATGTTTTGGTTAAACAGAACAAATTTCAGAAACATTGGCACTAGTCCTCTTACATAATTATGCTCACATAAGACACTTGGTGTAACTTTTAGAAGTGATATATGGCGATCTCTCAATTTAGGGTAATTTGCCTCCAAAATTATGCCTTTTGCATAGCTATACTGGAGAATTTTGACTATCACAGATTAGTGATTTACAAGGGGAGAGAGTTTCAGAAAATGCTGTTTTTAGAAGAAATCCAGTTTAAGGGATGTGGTGGCGCTGCGGGCTAAACCGCAGAAGCCTGTGCTGCAGGGTCAGAAGACCAGCAGTCGTAAGATCAAATCCACGTGATGGAGTGAGCTCCCGTCGCTTTGTCCCAGCTCCTCACCAACCTAGCAGTTCGAAAGCATGTAAATGCCAGTAGATAAATAGGGACCACCTCAGTGGGAAGATAAAACAGTGTTCCCTAGTCAGGCTGGCCACGTGACAACGGAAACTGTCTTTGCACAAGCGCTGGCTCTACGGCTTGAAAAACGGGATGAGCACCGTCCCCTAGAGTCGTACACGACTGGACTAAAAATGTCAAGGGGACCCTTTACCTTTACCAGTTTATGTGTCTTTTCTCAGCTTTACATTCCTCTATAAACCATGAGTTGCTTGAGAGGTAAAATTCTGTTCTCTCAACTGAACAATATATGTTAATATTATGTATCCAGATGCCAGTACATATCAGTGTAGGGTTCGTGAATATTTCAATATTTTTATTTTGTCAAGAGTTTAATCTTTCCTCGTATAAAGAAGCTAAATAATTTCAGTCTCATCAAATAGAAGTACATTGAGAAGTGCATCAAAACCAAGAATCCTTCCCAAATAAACAAATAGCTTTATGTAATTTGGAAGAATCATTATAAAGTGTTATAGCTGTAGTATATTCAGATAGGAATTCACCAAGAATAAGTCTAGCTGTCCTGCCAGGTCAGACCATTGGCCAGCATTCCATTCCTACAGTGCCACTCAGAAACCTATGTTATTCCTCAGTGGTAGTGTTATGTTGCCAGCATGATAGTAGTAACTGATAGCTGACTCTACCATGAATTTTTCTAATCTTCTTTGAAAGCCATCTCAGTTGGTGACTGTCATTGCCCTTTGTAGTAACAAATTCCACAGATTAACTACAAGAGGGGTATCAATGGTCAAGCAAATTCTTCAGAATTATTTCTTTCCTTTTTCCTTAGATGTACCTGATCCACCTGAGGCTCCCAAAATCTCCAATGTTGGAGAAGACAACTGCACAGTGGAATGGGAGCCTCCCAAGTATGATGGAGGACAGCCAGTACTCGGTAAGAATCCCTACGGAGATAGTATCATCAGAAGACTTTTATATACTGTATATGATTCTAGAGTCCTAGTCCCTCACTATATCCATTACACCACATTTGGAATCTTATATATATGTGTGTGTGGTGTAGTGGATACAGTGAGGGATTAGGACTCTGGAGAACAGGGTTCAA